CAATTTTTTATGAATAATTAAATTCTTTTGACAAGTTTCTTTAAATTTTTTGAAAATAATGTTTTTTTAAATAATTTTAATTAAAAATTTGGAAAATGATTGAATTAAACAAAGAATTAAAAGAATTTTTTTAAATAATCTTGTCTGTTCATAATTATAATTGAAATTTTGATTAATTCCATTTTATTAAAATGTATTGAAATTAATTGAATTTCTGCAAAGAATTTTACTATTTATAAAAGTGATTGAATCCTTCGAACGAATTTTATTATTTATGATTATGAAAATAATTAAATGTATGAGTAGAATTTTATTAAAATTTTTAAAAATTCTGGAGAACAATTTATTTATTTATAAATATAATTGAAATTTTGAGAATATAAAAAAAAATTTAAACGTATAAATTGAATTTCTGCGAAGAATTTTACTACTTTTGAAAATAATTGAATTGTTTTTTTTAGAATTTTATGGAAATTTATGAAAATAATTGAATTCTTGTGAAGAATATTTCTTAAAAATAAGATTCAAAAGAATTAAGTAAATCTGAAGAATTTTGCTACAGTTTCTAGAAATAATTGAATTGTTTTGACGAATTTTAATAAAATTTTTAAGAATAATTATATTTTTCGAAGAATTCAATTAAAATTATTGTATTAAAAATTGTTGAAATTCTGCAATGAGTTCTACTATTTATGAAAATAAATTGGATATATTGCGAAGAAATTTTTAAAAATAAAATTATAATTACGGTTACTAACTTCCCTTGATTATTTTCGAAAAATTTAAATAAAATTTTTTAAAAGATTTTAATTATTTTTAATAGAATGTAAAGAAATTTCAATTGTTTCAAAATTTTTCAATTATTTTTTTTATAAAAATTCAATTATCTTGAAACAACAAAATTGGAAAATTGCAAAAATCTTATTTTTCAGAATTTTTAGAAAAACTTTGCGAAAATTGAATTTTATTAAAAAATTTTAAATGTGTATCATTTTTTAAATTAACTAATAAAAATTTTAATTATTAATCTTTGCGCTAAGAAACATAAATATACATTAGAATGTGACTCTTTATAAAATTCAATTATTTATCAATTTTGAAATTAAAATTCTTTGAAAATTCTCGATTTGCTAAAAAGTTTTTAATGAAATTCTTTAACAAATTTAATTATTTTCAGTTGAATTTCACAAAATTTTTATTAATTTGTTATTTTTTAAAATTTATTTCCATACAGTTTCTCTCTATCCATACTATACTTGAATCAGTGACTGACTTTTTACTATCAAATTAATTATTTTTAACTAATTAAAATTTAGAGAACGGTATAAATATCTACAAAAATTGAAATAAAAAGCGATTTTTTAAAAACAAATTAAAATAATAAAACTTTTTTTAATTTGGTGAAAAAATTCCCGGTTTGGCATAAAATTCCTGGCTTATTCCCGGTTTTTCCCGATCAAATTAAATTCCCGGATTTTCTGGTTAGTAGACACCCTTTCACATTACTTTCCAACAGTAGTTGAATTTATACAACACATTTTTTCGGTGTAAACAACAAAACGAAGATATTCAGTTAAATAAATTCAACATTTAAAAAAAACTATATAAATGAATATGAAAAATTTAATATAGCATAAATAATCTGTCAGATACAATTCGTTATACGGCAAAAAAATTTAATCATTTGAGAAACAAAGTTTAAACTAAAAAATATAAAATAATGTAGGCAATAAAAAAAAATTAATAAAATGTGACTTAATAAATCATTTTAGATTATGGAATGTGGAAGGAAACTTATTAAAACTACTTGTTCAAATGTCTTCGTTCTATCATTCATACTTTTCTTAAAATATTACTCGGTTGGAAAGGTTGATTAATAATTTCAACGAATGAAACTTTCTCTTTAAAATTTAAATAAAAATATTATTTTAAATAGCTGAATATTTTTATCCTTCCACAAATATTTAATAACTTTTTTTTTCGATTTTAGGAAGATATGAGTGTAAAAGACAAAAAATTCAAAAATTATTATATTTAAAAAAAATTAATTTTAAGAATTTCTTTATTAAAATTTTTGAAAATATTCTACCTTAATAATCTTTAAAAAGAAAAATAGACAGTTTCAATTATTATAAAAAATTGAATTTTTGTATGAAATGCAGTAGAACCCAGTTAATACGATCCCGTTTAATACGATTTCCCGCTTAAAACGCTCATTTATGGTGGTCCCTGCAATTAAAGACATATGTACATTTTATTTTCCGCCTAATACGTTTTCCCGCATTAGACGCATTCTTAGCGCGGTCTTTATACAGAATCGTATTAACCGGGTTCTACTGTAATTGAATTCTCGAAGAACTTTCAGAAAATTATTAAAAATTAATATAGATAATTGATTTATAGATGAAGTTTAGTTAAAAATTATAGAAAATAATTGAATTTTGGAAGGGTTATAGTTGTAATTTTAAGAAATTAATAAATTTCAGAAGTTGGAATTTTTTAAATTTTATTCCCCGTTTATTGGAATTTTGAATAATTAAATTTGGAAATCAGTGAAGAGTCAGGGAAATACAAAATAAAATTTGTTGTGACAACACTGAATTAAATAAAAGACTTTTTCGACTTTTTTTCTATTTTTAATCGACTAAAGCGACTTTTTTGGCTCGTTAAAGTCGATCCGAGGCCTGAAATAATAGAACACAAAAAATAAAATATTTAAATTTGCAAATCACAAACATGTTGGATAAAAGTGATTAGTCAGTGCTTTTTCTTTCACCATTTACACATAAATCTTCGCAAAATCGAAAAAAGAATTTATTAATTATTTTAAATATTTAAAAATCGGTTTATAAGAATTTATTAAAGAATTTTATAAAGTAATAAGACTACAATTTCATTTTATTTGTTTATAAATTTTCATAATTTTCATAATTTTTATTAATTGCAGAGTGTCTACTGAAAATATGATTTAAAATTCTAGGTCATTTTCAGGACAGATTCTTTACTTTTCAAAGACATTAAAATGGATAATATTATTTTATATTACGATTAGCATAATTTAAATTAACCTACTTGAACTAAAATATTCATTTTATCATATCAAGAGTTAAAAATTTATATTGTAGATCTCTATTTCTTTAATTAAACGACAAATTGGAATTATTTTTTTATAGATCAGAAAAATTATTTTTTTAAGTTTGAGTATAAAATTTTTAATTTATTGAATATTTTAAAGCAAAATATGGAAAATTCAAAGGCAAAAATTGAAAATTGAGGACATTTTTTCAAATTTCAGAACCAGTAGACACCCTGTTAAATATTATTTGTAATTGTTTATCAATGTTCATAATTTTATTAGTTTTTATTAATTATTATTGTCTTGGACTTTTTCAAACTTTGTCCTTTATTTTATTTTGTTATTTTTTAACTCTCATTATAATTTTTCAGACTCCAGACTCTTACTTTATTTTTAGGGTGTTAACAATTTTATGTTTTCGTTTATTTGACTTATTAATTTCTGGTAAGATAATTATTTATATTTTATATCTTATTTATTTTGTTAAATTATTCTTATTTTAATTTTGTATAATATTTTTGATAGATTCACTGAGAAGGAAACTCTGAAGGAAATTTATTTAGATTTCGAAACGTTGGAGTAAATTATATATTTTAATCATTGTCCGAATGTTTTCGTTTTATTTACCTTGTTTTATAGAAAATCTCGAACGTTAAAGATTAATTAAGTAGAAATAATGTATTAATAATATAAAAATAATGTAAACTAACATTCCGACGTTTGCTAATCTTGGAAAAATTATAGCAATTTTAATTTAAAAAGAATTATTTTTCAAATATTTGCATTGTTTTTATAAATATTTTTTTTTAATTTTGGTTTGTAAAATTTTTATAGTAAGAAATTTATAAAAATTAATTTTTTAACAAAAATTAGTTACACTATTCTCTAAAATTAAAAAACGCTTATTAATGCAATTCGCACAGAGAAAAATAAATAACTTTTAAATTTTTCTTGAAAAAGTAACATAAAATAAACATTTGTTCTAGGCTTGTTCTTTAATTTTAATCACTCATATTTAAATTGCTTTAAAAGCTGCATAGTCATTTAAAAAAATCAATTCTTTTAATTATTCCGAAAAATTACAAGATATATTTGAGAACGTGCACATGTTGACTGTTACTAGAGAGGGTAAAGGGTATTGATAAAAACGCTACGCTGCGCTTCTTGAAATGCATTAGCTAAAATATTTTTAAACAAACTGAAGGTAAAAAATTGTTTTAAAAATTCAAACTAGGATAATAAGGTCACTGGGACACGATTTCATATTTTAATATATACCTATTTGTCTGTAAAGCAGCCAAATTTCATGAAAACTGTATGTATAACAAATATGATACGGTTAGCATTTTTTCTTATTTCTTTTTTTTTGGTAGAGGAAACAGCTGATATTAAATCAAGTGGAAAATTGCTACTTTTTAATTAATAGGCGAGTCCGAGGGAGATGGCCCCAGTTTTTTTTAAAGGATTGTAAAAGTTTGCGATGTTTATCTAAACTTTTATTGGTAATTACATATGAAACACTTACCTTGAAAATAATTAAATTTATACTTACTAGTTTTGGCTCTGTTAGTATCGTAGAAAAATGGTAGAAAAAGAATTTACCGAAAATTGTGTTAATCGCGTTCACTCCGTTCACTCCTAGCCTATCTGTAAAGGTGTTTCCACAATAGCTTGCAAATACATTCGTTTCGTCTGATTAATCTGATTCAAAATTTCAAGGCGATTGCACATTCTGCAGAATTTAATAAGAGTGAAAAGGATAGTGATATCTGACTACCTCTCTTGCACTTGTAAAATTCTGCTTTTACTTTCCTGCTTAACTACACAACCCTGCCCTTACATCGTCTCCCCTGCTGCAACTGCAAAGCTGTGAGTGTGCCTTAACACTGTTGACACGCCATTTTTTTAGTTGAGTAGCAAATAGTTGACTCCCCTTTTTATTTTGAATAAATGCTGCAGTTTAAGGAAGTCCCCTACATGTTCCGATAATTAGTTGAATATTGTAATTTGTAAAGTACTTGGAAGTTAATAATTTATAAATTCCGAATTTCATAACATAAAGATTGTTGGAAATAAAATTTGTCAAATTGGATCGAAATAAGTCGATGGTTTTTCCAGGGGTACACGAGTCAACGTGCTTTTTTTATTTTTTCAGGTAAGTTAACTTCTTGCATATAAAGAATTCTAAAAATGTTGTAAGAATGTAATCTAAAATTACTAAATATTATTTTAAGCCACAATTTCGAATTCCAAAAACAAAATAAGGTTTAATGTTTTATTTCCTCTTTGAAAATGAGTTCGTCAAGAGATTTATTTAACATTAAAGTATTTACTTTGTTAAAACATTTTAATCAGACATTGATTTAATGAAACATTTTGTAAACTTGTGTTTAACCTCAAAATTATTATTGTAATGTTAAATATTAAATTAATGTGTTTAAATAGTCAGGGTTGACACGCAACCTGGAAAAGTCAGGGAATTTTGATCGAAATCCTGGAAAATTGTTATTTTCTAAAGTTTATTCTTGAAATCTAATTTTACTTAAATATTTCAAAATTAATTCAATTTTAAAAGATTTGCGTTTACAATTTTCATAAATAGGTGAACTTCAAAAGGTTTGAATTTGAAATTTTAGTAAATTTCAATTTTTAATGAATGAATTAAATACTAAAAATTTCACAGGAATTCTATTATTTACAAATTTTTTTATAAATTTCTTCGCAATAATTCAATTATTTTCATGAAGAATAATATTTTTTACCAGGAATTCAATTATTTTCATATATAGGTTTTCAATTATTCAATTATTCAATTTTTTTTCAAAATAATTTTAATAAAATTCTTCGTAGAATTAAATTAATTTCAATAATTTATCAAAATTCAATTATTTTTAATATCTGGGTGATTCTCCCGAAATACTCCTTTTTGTGAGTTACAAACAGAAAAGAAAAAAAATTATTATTTATGGATTAATGCAGTCAAGTATATTGAGCTTTCAAAAATCTACCACCTCTATAGCATGATCATGCTAACTTTTAGCTTTTAAAGTATATATTTTAAATTAAAATTTACAAAAAAATTAAGAGGTTAAAATTTGGCGCCAGCGTTTTTTATTATATATATTTTTCTATTTACAAAAAATTATTTAAAAATTATAATTTATTAATATTATCTATAAATTTTATAGATTTTGAAATACTTACAGTTATCAAAAATCTCTTTAAACAATTGTCAAAAATTATGTTTCATACATTTTAGGTTCACTTTTCACTGGCAGTTTGTAAACAACCGACAATCATATCAATTTTTAATTTTTATTCAAAAAAGTGAGAGGAATGACGGGTGAGAGGAATGACGATTTCAACATTTTTTAATTTTATTTAATTGACAAATAATTTTCCTCCAGCTTAGAATGCCCTATCATGTTTATAAAGGATAACTTTATGTGAAAAAAATTTGCGATCAATTTATATATATTAATATTGTTTTTATTAGGGGTGAGAGGAATGACGCTTTAGGTTGTGAATCTCTGCTTATGTCTCATTTTTAATTTTTTTAACGCAAAATAATGACATTTTTTAAAAAGTAACTTAAGAAATTAATATTAGAGATGTTAATTTAAATATTGATCACAATAATTAATCAATATCTCTACCCACAGCAAAAATATTGGATAATATTCAACGAGTGAGAGGAATGACGCGGTACTACATGACAAATTTCATTTTCTATATTTAAAAAAACTACACGACATATTCTATTTATATTTTTGAAAATTATTCTTAAATATCATAACTTTTAGAAAAAATTAATAAAGTACCAATTTTCATGTTTTAAATAATTGTTTTACCTATTGAAAAAATGAAAAGCACTTAGATGACAGGTTAGAAAATCGATTTTGAGGTGGTAAAATATTTTTAAAATGTATTAAACAATAAAATTTTACAACTTTTTCTTGCAGAACATTTAGAAAAAGTGATAAAATAGGGAAATATGACTTGGTATTTTCCCAAATGATTATAATTATTTAGAAAATCTTGATTACATGCAAAATGAGGTTTTTTGGAGAATCACCCATCTACGTATTTCAATAAAAATTCACAAAAGAATTCAATTATTTAAAAAGCAATATATCATTAAAATTCGCCTCAAGAATTCAATTATTTTCAAAAGTATGTAATAAAATTCTTCACAAAAATTCAATTATGATAAAAAGTTTAAAAAAATTCTTGTCAAAAATTTCAACTATCTTTATAAATAATAAAATTATTCTTCAAAAGTCAATTATTTTAAAAAACTTTTCTCAATTCAATCAAATTTTTTTTACAGAGATTCAATTATTTTTAATGCAATTTTAATCTAATTTCTTGCAAATGGAAATTATTCTTAAAAATTTTATTAAAATTCGTCAAAAGAATTTTAATTATTTAAAAATTTGTTGATAAAATTCTTTATGATAGTTCAATTTTAAGAAACATTCAATTTTTCAATAAATTATTTGTTTTTGTATTTAAATAATTGAATTCTCGTAGAATTTTCTAATAAAAATTGATTTAAATATGAATTTCAGTTAAAATTTTAGATAATAATTGAATATTAAACTCTAAATTTTAATTAGTAAAAATGCTTTCTAATTTGAATTAGTGACTGACTTTTTGCTTTTGAATTAGCAAATTTTACCAATAAATAGTCGTTTCTACTAATTTAATAGTAAAATTTACTAATTTAAAAGCAAAAAGTCAGTCACTAATTCCGAAATAGTAAACATTTTTACTAATTCAAATTTAAAGAGAAAGTATTATAGTTTGAATTTTTAGAAATAATTGAATTTTGAAAAGGTTTCAAATTATAATCTCTGAAAGTTTGAATTTTTCATACTTTTAACTGAAAATTGTGTAGATTTAAATTTTTTTAAAGTTTAATGGAATTTTTTTGAAATTATTTGAAGTTTTTATTTTCTAATATATATATTTAATTGAAGAATTTCCGAATAATCGAAATTTTAGTGTAATATTGAATTGTAAAAAAACGGATTTTTAAAATTCTCAAAGAACTGTTTAAAAAATTATTGAAAATAATTAATTTAAAGAATTTTAGTTAAAAATTCTCGAAAATAATTCAATTGAAATGTGAATAATTTTTATGAAGTTACAGTAACAATATTCTTATAAAATATAAAATAATGATTTTATCAGTCGGTCATCTTTAATTTATTACAAAACATGAAGATATCGATTGCTCCGAGTCGAAGACTCGGAGTGATCGATATCTTCATGTTTTAACAATTTTTTGAAAATTGTTTAATTTCAAAAAGGTTTGAATTTGAAATTTTTGAAAATCTTAATTCTTATGGAAAAATAATAATGATTTTATATTTATTAAAAAAAGAAGCAATGGAACATTTTTCTCCTAGTAACCAGTCAAATTAAGCATTTTTGTGCGCGACCCAAAGAAAAGGATGATCTAAGAAGCAAAAACTTGTAAGTTATGTTTATGAACAGAAAGTTTTAGTTTGAATCCCCTGAATAAAGAATTCTTTCTTAATTTTGTAAAAAGAAAACAAATTTTATTGAATATTGTAAATGTAATAAAGGTTTTAATATAATTAATTTAAATAAAGAGTTAACCCATATCATCATATTTATATGATTTCACTTGTAGAACACAACAAACATTATCGATAAGATTTTGCTTCCTAAGTCCCTTTCTTCGTGTCGCGTAATAATTAATGAGATTATAATATAATATTATAATATTTACACTATATTGCCTTATTATCTTAATAAAATCCTTCCTAACTACGCAAGCGTTATTCGACAAAATCAGAAGATAGGATGGTAGAACTCTGACCGTCTCTTTCTACCGAGTTGACGCAGCGAGAAACGTGAGAAAGCAGAATTTCTTGAGAGAGGTAAGCTTAAAGATGTTTGTACTTTATGTCGCTTGTTCTAAATCTCTTTTCCAAGTCAATTTTGTTTAATTTTCAATCCAGTGTCTACGTAATAAGTACAAAAAAAACGTACTAATTATAAACAAAAATTTAATGTGCAATGAAACTTTAAAGTTCTATTGACATTTACAGATGGACTTTTCAATTTCCTTTTTTCTAATGGAATGTTTTTATTTTCTTACATTTGTTATGATTTTTCTATAATTTAACTTAAAGGTTTTTTTATTTAATTATCATTTACAATATTTTTTTATCTCAAAGTAAGACTTTCTTTAGGCAGATTCTATCAATAAACAACTTAGTTTCATTCAGTTACTGTTGAATGTCATTTGTTTATTTTTTGTTGATCAATATTATTTATTTTGACTGAATTGTCAACATAATTTGCAAATTGTCTAATTTATATAATTAATAAAATAATACTCGCTAAAGTTTTTTCTTGAACGCTGTTGCAATCCGTTTGAATTAAAAATAAATAATCATAAATTATACAATCGGCAAATAATTTGTACACTTCACTACAAAAAATACACAAATGGCATTCAAAAAGCAGAATGAAACTAAGTTATTTATCCCTAAAATCTTAAGAAATATCCGTAAATTTCATAGGAAACGAAAATAAATTAAAGATTTACGTTCAATTTAGTTTTGTGTCGACTGGGAAGTTAAATTACCAAATTTTAGTTTCGTATCGACTTTTCTGCTTTATTATTTTATTAAAGTCTCTTTAGACTATACTTTATAGTTAATTAAGGTTGCAATATTATTTCCTTGAATATTTTGTTTTTACTGTAATTTAAAAATTTTTAATTTTAATTAAATTAATTAATTTTAAATTTTTAAAAAAATTTTAAAATTTACTTTCTATAATTGAAACTATAAATTATTGAAGCTTCCATTAAAAAGTTTTTACATTGGATAAGGTTTTATTAAATAAAGTAGGCAGAAAAATTATAAAAAATTACATTTATAAAGAATCTTCACATTTCTCTTACAAATCTTTTTTTTCAGTGTACACAAAAAATATTCAATTAATACTGTCATCGTCGTTTCTATTACTATAATAATCTAAATGGTAACCTAATAATCTTATTTCTAATTTAATATTGTTTTTAAAAAAAGTTCTTTCTTTGAAAAACTCAATAATCTTATTTCTAATTTAATATTGTTTGTAAAAAAACTTCTTTCTTGTATTAAAAAACCTAATAATCTTATTTCTAATTTAATATTGTTTGTAAAAACAACTTCTTTCTTGTATTAAAAAGAATTCATTGCATGGCCATATTACTAAAATTTCTGGACAAATTTGAAAAAAACTCTACAATGATTATGCCCGACCTGCGGGAACATTGTTCTAAACTTAAATGCATTGGTGCATTATCTCAAAATATTTTTGGACTATGAAATATTTCAAACAGAATGGAACTACTTTAATCAGAAACTAAAACTTATATGGACATGAAAAGTTATTTTTAAAAAGAACTGAATTGTATTAAAAGAATTTACTGCAACGGCAACAATTCAATATTTTAATATTACTTTGATATTTTCGCATTTTGTTCCGATTTTTGGTTCGTCGATTATAGTAATCGATTCTTTCTCCGCTTTTCATTATGAAATAAAAGTGAAGTTGATAATAATAGCTTGTACGCAATAGATCTAAAACTCTTTCTTTTTGAGATCCTTGAAGGGCATAATGTTTTCTAAACTTTCTTAAAATAGCAATGAGCGCTCTACATTTATTGTGCCACTCAAGTGCGCTAATAATTCGCTCATCATATATCTTGGATGTTACAGATCTCAATTCAAGCATAGCATCATTAATAAAATTTTGTGATTCTTCACAAATTTCATCGAGACCAGCCTGTGAGACTACCCTTTTATATAGTGCTTTAACTCTACGCTGATACATAGTGTAAGTGCAAGAGAACGCAAAGGCTGAAACAAAAAAATGAAACGTCGTCTGTAGTTGACTCCTCAGCTCCTGGAAGTTGCCAACAGAGGGGAAAAAACTAAGCGAGAAGTTGTTTGGCTCAAAGCGATAACTCTTCCTTAATTTTTCTACAAGTTGGACCAATCAGTTGAATAGTGAACGCTGCTCACTGGAGATCTAGATGTTCTGCAGTGGTGACGGTTGTCTCTTGGAGATGATGGTTGAAGTTCAGGTTGGAGTCTTATTACCGATTGTCGGAAAACTAAAACAGAAATATTTAATTTTAGATTCTATTAAATACACTTCTCCCTGATTGCATCCGGATATTCTATGGATGTCCGTGGGATAACCATTTATCCTGGAAATTTGGATATTCAAAGCATATACCAGGGGCGTCGGTGGTCATCCCTGGGATATCTTACACATATCCTACTTTCCTGGGACAACTGGTTATCCCTAGAATATGGGGATGCTGTAAGGGGTTATATTCTATTTTATATGCCCCCAGCACTTACTGAATGTCTTATGCGCCCTCTACTTCAGTGTTGTATCAGTGGCTGCAAGAATCTGTAACAGAGTAAGAAGACTGGAGTGCTGGTCCAAGTGGAGAGGTCCTGATGCTGCTGGTGCGAGAAGCTGATTCAGAATGACTTACATCGCCTTAAGTACAGGTTTCCCCACCACGGCACTACTAACAGGTTCTGGCAATGATGCGCCCTCTACTTCAGTGTTGCAGGCTGCAAGAATCTGCAACAGAGTAAGAAGACTGAAATGCTGGTCCCAGTGGAGAGGTCCTGATGCTGCTGGTGCGAGAAGCTGAAACAGAATGACTTACATTGCCTTCTAAACCGCCTTAAATACAGTTTGCCCCACCATGGCACTGGCAATGATGCGCCCTCTACTTCAGTGTTGTACCAGTGGCTGCAAGAATCTGTAACAGAGTAAGAAGACTGGAGTGCTGGTCCAAGTGGAGAGGTCCTGATGCTGCTGGTGCGAGAAGCTGAAGCAGAATGACTTACATCGCCTTCTATATCTCCTGAGGTACGTGTTCTCCACCATGGCATTGCTAACAGGCTCTGGCAATGATGCGCCCTCTACTTCAGTGTTGCACCAGTGGTTGTAAGAATCTGTAACAGAGTAAAAAAGACTGGAGTGCTGGTTCAAGTGGAGAGCCCCTGATGCTGCCGGTACGAAAAGCTGGAACAGAGTGTGTGGATCCCGCGCCCTCTACTTCAGTGCTGTACCAGTGGCTGCAAGTAAGAAGACTGGAGAGTGCTGGTCCCAGTGGAGAGGCTGCTGATCCTGCTGGTGCGAGAAGCTGAAACAGAATGAGTTACTTTGCCTTCTGAATCGCCTGAGGTACATGTTCTCCCACCATTCCATTCCCCCACCCTGGCAACCGTACGCGCATCGCTGTAGCGCACCTTTCACTTTCCGCTTACACTGAACGTGTCGACCACAAGACCCCTCCACTAATGTCTGGCGGTATCTGACAAACCCGTGGTCCCACTTGATTTTCTGTACATACGATTTTCAAATTTTTGGGTTTCGCATAGATACATTAGTTGTTACCTTTTTAGTAATTATTTAAGTACAGTAATATCAGGGCTCGAACCAGTGATACTATTTAAAAATACGGACTCTACGGACAAAAAATGAAAAATTACGGACCATTTATTGTCCAATTACTGACAAAAATATGAGTGATAAAATCATTATCAATTCAATTATTATTTTCAAGAATTTTCAAATCCATTTCTTTACAACATTCAATTTTACGAAATTTCAATTATTCGCAAATTCTTTAATTAAATATATATTAAAAAATAAAAACTTAAAATAATACAAAAAAATTCAATTATTTCTAAATATTCACGCTATATTGCTTTTACTATTCAATTATTATCTAAAATTTTAACTGAAATTCATTTTTAAATCAATTTTTATTAGAAAATTCTACTACAAATTAAATTATTTAAATACAAAAATAAATAATTTATTGAATAATTGAATGTTTCTTAAAATTCAATTTCTACAAAGAATTTTATCTACAAATTTTTAAGTAATTAAATTCTTTCAACGAATTTTAATAAAATTTTTCTAGAAATTCGATTAAAATTGTATTAAAAATAAAAAAATTATTATTTGAAAAAAAAAATTATTTGTGAAAATAATTAAATCCCTAAGAAGAATTTTATTACTTTTGAACAATATTTAATTTTTGCGAAGAATGTTATTACTCTTGAAAATAATTGAATTTCTGCAATAATTTGTAACTTTTTTAAAATTGAATTTTTTTTTCGTGTTTTTAACTAAACATCTTCTATTTAAAAAAAATTTTTGAAAAAGTTCTTTGAGAATTTTTAAATTCATTTGTATAATTTTACAAAATTTCAATTATTCCTAAGTTCTTGAATTAAATATATATTAGAGAATAAAAACTTGAAATAATTTTTCAAAAAATTAATTCCACAGTTAAAAATATTAAAAATTTAGATTCTCAAAGATTTTAATTTGAAACCTTTTTAAAATTGAATTATTTCTAAAAATTCACACTCTAATGCTTTTAATATTCAATTATAATCGAAAATTATAACTGGAATTTATTTTTAAAACAATTTTTATTAAAAAATTCTACTAGAATTCAATTATTTACATAACAAAAAAAAATTTATTGAATAATTGATTATTTCTTTAAATTGAATTCTCATAAAGAATTATATCAATAAATTTTTAAACAATTGAATTCTTTTGACGAATTTTAATAACATTTTTAAGAACAATTACATTTATGAAAATAATTGAATGATTGCGAAGAAATTTATAAAAAATTTGTAAATTAATGTATTCCTGTGAAATTTTTATTATTTTATGCAAATAATTAAACGTTTGCGGAGAATTTTATTAAATTTTTTCTCAATCATTGAATTGTTTTGTAAAACTTTATTAAACTAGTAGATATTGAAAATTATTGGATTGAGGAAAATTTTTGAAAATAATTGAAATTTTGCTGAGAATTTTATTACAATTTTTGAAAATAATTGAATTTTGCAGAATAATTTAATTATTTCTAAAAATAATTGAAATTTTGACGAGAATATAAAAAACATTTTTTTTTTATTACTTTTGAAAATAATTGGATTTCTGCAATCATTTGTAATTTCTCTAAAATTCTCCAAATTTTATCGTACAATTTACGAACTTTTTGTCTTTTTTCAATAAAATTACGGACTTTACGGACCTTTTTTTTAAAAAACGGACTTTTACGGACTTCAAGCTAATTTACGGACTTTTACGGGATTTACGGACCTAGTTTGAGCCCTGTAATATTGCTTACAATTAAGATCTCTATCAAGAAAAATATTTTTTATAAGGTTTCTTTTTTTAGCTAAATTGACGATAATATATCGATAGGTGTTACGAAAAAAACACAAAATCGAGATTTGGGACGGAAACAAACATAAAAGAGTTTTTTCGAATTTTCTCTTTCGTATTGTAATATTTATTTTAAAATTTAATATAATCAAATTAGTTTTTAAAATTAAAAGTTCACTTTTTTACTTAAAAATCGGGAATGTTAGTTTTCATGCAAAGATATCTGAATAGTGTTTTTCTTCGTAACACCCAACGATAGAAGCATTTACCTAATATTTAAAGATTAATTGTGTGTAATTTATATCACGGTTTTCCATAAACAAAATAAAGTAATTCCATAAGAAATTTTAGAATTTAAATTCGGGAATTTTTATTCATTACTTGTGACGCGATCTGAAGAAAGGGACCTTAGAAGCAAAAAATTATAGGTTATGTTTGCAATTTTTTAAATCAAAATACAGAAAAAGGATCAACTGTCAATATAAATCATTGATGTTTAAGTCTTCATTAAAACTAAAATATTTAATAAACACTGATTTTAATTCGAAATAAGTAAAAAGAAACTTTCAAACAAGAAAAAAGTAACTCTAACCCAACCTTAAAATGACTTGCTTCTAAGGTCCCTTTCTTCAGATCGCGTCACACTTACAAAAAACTATGAACCATTCAATTAAATATACAATCATACTAAATATGCAGTTCTTGTAATGAACTTTTAGAATTGCTTTGAACTTTTCTTCATTTATATATGAGGTATTCTTCACAATATTTTCATTCAAAAATTAGATTTAGTTAAAATAATTTTTTTTAGATTCTGTATTTGAAAAAAAATAAATACCTATTTTTCTATTTTGAGATTTGATGAAAATTATAGAAGTTATGAATTATTGAAATTTAATTTTTTCAAAAACAGTGTATCCTTGATATCAGAACATAGAAAATAATACGATGCTACATGAAATTTGTTGGAAATTTTATGTACTTTTTAAATATGCAAATAAAAATAACGAATCTCAATATAATATAAACCAATTTAAATTTTTATTATAGAATAATTATTTTAAAGTGTTAAGATAAAATTTCAAAAAATACAAAATTTGAATTTTTTGTGAAAAATAGAAATAGCGATTAATTTTATAAATTTTGATAAAATGTTTACAAATTTATTTAATTATATCGTTTACGATATTTTTTAATCTCAATGCACGCATTTTAAAGGCTGACCCTATCATTAAATAATTTACTATTCTTACTGCTTCCGTTGAATGTCATTTGTTTATTCTTTGTAGTGATGTGTCCAAATTATTTGCGCAAATAAATTGTATAATTTATGATTATTTATTTTTAAGTCAAACGGATTGCAACACCGTTCATGAAAAAACTTTATCGAGTATTATTATATTAATTATATAAATATTGGACAATTTGTAAATTTATTATATTGTCAATTCTGTCAAAATAAATAATATTGATCAACAAAAAATAAACAAATGTCATTCAATAGAAACCGAACGAAACTAAGTTATTTATTGATAGAATCTGTCTAAAAAAGTCTTGCACTGAGAATAAAAAATATTGTAAATGATAATTAAATAAAAAAAGCACCACATTCGTATAGGTGGAGAAAAATTTGTCGATTCTTAAAGATTACGTTAAAAGAAAAAAATTGCATATTTTATTTGCATATTTAAAAAATTCATGCAATTTCCAACAAATTTCATGTAGCATAAATTATTTTCTATTGAGGGAGAAAAACGCGTTCGAAAAGTATAGGTACACTGTTTTTGAAAACATTATATTTCAATAATTCATAACTTCTACAATTTTCAACAAATCTCAAAATAAAAAAATTTGTATTCATTTTTTTCCGATACAGAATAAAAAACATTTCTTTAATCAAATTTAAATTTCGAATGGAAATGGAGAATGCGCTATTTATTTTTAATTAAGGAGCACATATTTTTTTCTACTTATAATGCATTTTTCGGTATTAGAAGAATTACGCATTACGAATTTGATTTCGTATGGTGTGCTAAAAAAATTATACACATTAAAAGTAAAAAAAAATACTCAGAGTAATCAATGAAATTTGCGAAATTTGACTTTTTAAGTTCATCAATGATTTCTTAATTCACAAAAACAAAAAATTATAATTTTACGAACTTTTTTCTTTTAAAAAGTCATTAAAATGATATTCAGAACAAGAAAAAATTAAATAGTATTATTAAAGCATTATTATAAATGTGGAGTAACGTGTTATCGATCGATTCCGTAGATTTGCCCATATGAGTTAAAAATTATTTAAAAAAAACTTAACAGTACATATTGAAAAATTTATACTTTTTGAAATTCTTCTTCAATCATGCGGAAACTTTCTTTGCTTTAGAAAAAAAGTACACAGTTGTAAAAGAGTATTCAAAATTCTAAAAATATGGAGACTGGCTATATATCTGTAGATATTTATTTAAATTATTCAAGAGAAATGAAAATTTGTTTTGTCGTGGTTCGCCTCAGGTCGATTACCTTTTTTATATTGAAACTAATTTTTAGAAATTTGAATATTTTTTTAAAATTTCGTTCTTGTTTTTATTTTTCTTTGGAAAATTCAATATTCCGTTGAGCATTTCTGTTTACATACATCAATTCTTAATATTTACTTGTTGTTTTCATCGAAGATATCTTTATTTTAATTACATAGATAAACATAAATAAATAGAAAAGATATTTTAAAATAAATCAAAAATATCTTAAGAGCTACTTCAATTGTTACCACTTTTAAAAATCGTAAAAAATTGATTGGTTTACAAAAACCTGAAAATATTTTTGTTTTCGTTTCTTTGTAATTTTTATATTTTCCTAAGTTTAAATAAAAAGTAGAAACTATATTTTTTAATTGAATTTATGTACAGCATATAGGAATTAATTGGTATTAAATGCTTTTATATAACTTTTTGCAAGCGGACTCTTTGTGTTTATTCTTTTTTCCAGAGATGTTTTGTTTACTTCTGGAATAATAAAAATAATGAAATAATAGTAGGTATACACTTTTAGGCAGAGAGCCTGCAATGTTTCCACGTGTTTGACAGTAATTCTTTTTGAAATTTTATTCGGTCTCCTATAAAATGGTCCCATGCAGAGTAGAACTCTATTGTTTCTGGGAAGAGTTTGTATCCAATACTGAAATGCAATTTTTACAATTGAATTGTTTTTTTGAAAATGCATATGCTCCATTTATTTCAAATATAAATATTTAATTCAAGAGAGAGGAAGTTCATATAGTTGAAAGGATTTCAATTTTCATTGTTTTCTATGTACGGAATATAAAAATTTAATCAAGCATTCTAGAAACAAAGAATAAATTATGGTGAAATCATTTTTTTAGAAAATATTTATTTTATAAAAAGTTTGTTGAAAAGATTGAAAAAAGTGAGAGAGAGAGTTTTAAAAGAATATTAACTGAATTGGGTGAAATGAACTTACAAGTGTGACGGCATAGGCAAAGCTCTTTCGCCTTTATTAACTTCTTTCAAAACTTGGTCGTGTATTTGTTTTTGAGCTTCCCAATTTACTTCTTGACCCTGGTTGCAGATGAGAGACCTAATTTTGCAAAAAGTAGGTTCTCTATCGTACAGGCTTTGATACTCATGCCGGGGAAGTTCAACAACAGTCCCTTCCACTCTGACCTTAAAATCGAAAAATTACTCTTTTTACATATTGTAATAGCTTTCTAGCCGAGAGGGAAAATTTACTGCTTGAAAAAGTGTACGCTCGAATCCTTAACACGCTGCTATTACATTCATTACAAATATATTGCTCTTTGTTCCAGAAACTTTACACCTTTGGTATTATAATTATATTAAAAAATAACTGCCTACTAAATTAATGAGTAGCACAGTTTTCCTAAGGGTCTCAAATTGAGACCATTATAACAGCATCAAGATTGGTTCGCAACAATCTTTATGGTTTCAATTTGAGATCCTTAAGGAAACTGTGAGGGAAATGAATATTTATATAAGAACACGATACAAAATAAGTAACAAACATAAATTAATGCAAAATGTTTCTTAAAATTTAATATTAATTGACTCTTTTTACATATTTGACGTCTTTTTCTAATATAAGTGTACACTTTTACAGTAAATGAAGAGTAACATGATATATTTCCAGCCATGATATCTTTTGCATATAAAAAAATATTTGTGGCAAAAGAATTAAACTTAAAATTTATTAAACTTATTCTTTAATTAATTAATTAAACTTTATTTTTAGCTTATTCTTATTTTATTTTAAATGTGTATTTTTATAGAGACTTTATAGTCAGAGCCTTAATAGCTTTCCCAACTTGACAGAAAACTAAATTTGAAGAATTTAATTGAATTTGAATTTAATTAATTTAATTTGAATTTGAAGAAACTAAATTTTTAAAGTTACATTTTGTAAAAAAAAGTTATTGATAAGAACCTTTATACTTTTGTTATAATACATTTTTATTTTAAGAATGTGACTAGATTTCCTTGTCAAATCTCCTTTCAAATAACGTTTAAAGAAGATATTCATAATTGTTATACTCTCTTAAATTGAATCAGTGATTTTTTCGGTAAAAATTGAAAATTCAAGTATCTAACCAAAAACATTCTAAAAAATCCTTTTTATAAAATATTCAATATTTTTTTTCAAATTCTGTAAAAATAATCTCTTATGCTTTCAATTTTTCAAAGAATATGAATTGCGAAATTCTTCATTTCCATTCATTCATTTGTCTTATATTTTAACTACACTTTTGAAAGAATATTTATCTCTCTATCGCCGTAAATCAAATAAAAATGGCAACTTCGACATAAGTTACAATTTCTTTCTACTGCGATAATTTTAAATTTCTATCAATTAAGGGGGGTCATATGGGTGATACATCTGAAAGTGACATTTTCGATGACTCGATTAATTTTACAAAATCTACTCTCTAATAATTGTTATCAGTTTACATGGTAAAAATTTAGCACTACCATTTAAAAAAAATTAAACTATTTTATTCAACTGAATTTAAGCAATAACTAAAATAATTTCATCTCCCAAGTCTTTTTAACATGTCTCCAATAGGACTTTTATAAGAAAACTAAATTTTTATGGTTTTTTCGAACTTTTAGAAATTTTTTAAAAATAGTGCCAGAAAGTAGAATGCTTTTTCTATGATTATGTGCATTTTAAAAATTTTTAATTATTTTAAATTTAAAAAAAAATTATTAAAATTTTTTAAATTTTAATTAGCGTGTATTTTTAATAGAAAAACTCGCAAATTAAATTAAATAAAACTACATAATCTAATGGAGCAACAAAGTCAATCTTTGAAAAAGATATCTATCTATCTTTCTTCAATATCAAAGAAGAAAAACTTTAATATTTTTAACAATCAATTTTGCGCAACTGAAAAATCTTACTCTCGAGTATGAAATAAAGTAGTTTTAATAGAAAAAACCATATAATTAAAAAAAAATAATTGAAAAATTTAAGTTCTGAAGTATTAAAAAGTATCACTTTCAGGAAAATCAATTTAAAAGTGCCATTAAAATAAAAAACAAATTAATAGAAACGACGAATTTCGCAATTCATATTCTTTGCAAAATTGAGAGTATAAGAAATTATTTTTACAGAATTTGTAAAAATTAGTGAATATTTAAAAATGGGTTTTTTTCAGAATTAAAGAGAGGGATTTATATTTCATACTGCGAAATTATTAAATTTCGAAAAAAAAAATTTTCAATTGGCGTTAACTTGAACTTAAGATTTTTAAATCGTAATTTTCAGGAAAAAATTTCTACCTTTAAAGAATTATATGCATATTTTCATAATTACATCATTCCGTTTTTTGGTTTGTTTGACTGCAAATTTAATGATGTTCAGACATATGAACTATTAATTTACAATTAATTATATTTTGACATTATTAAATTTCTAACTAAAATTCTAATTTTTAATTTTAATGAAACTATAGGATATCCAACAGTTATTAAGGTAAATATTAGAATATCAAAAATCTAATATGTGTCGAATAATAAAGTATCAAAATTTCGGCCGAAAACTTACTTTTAGCAATTTTTTTGCACACATATTAAATACATCTCAAAAACTTTTCTCAGATGGTCAAGTAAATTTGCATCAAATAGTGAATCAAAAATGTAATAAATTCACGCTTTTCAAAATTTTTAAAAGGTCATAGCTTTCGAGAAATCGGCTTTGTTACACCTCACCTCGGTCTTCCCTACCTTAGATACCTGGGTCTTATGACTCTCTGTACCTAGCCCTTGCCTAAAGGAATGTACTTTTAAAGAAGATCTTATTTTAAGTAAAAATCTTAAACCATGTTGCCACATTTTTTGTAAATTTTGTATCTTTCTAAATTATGAGAAAACCAACGTTGCCAAATATTGGCCTTTTCGGTCAGGACTAAGGTCCAAAAGGTGTGAGGCTTCGTCAATCCGGTCATCGGACAGAAACGAATAATGTTCCTTCGACTCAATATGAATTAAATTGTTTAATAATTCAAGTTAATATCTCCATATTATGAATAAATATGATTTTTTTGTTCAAGAATATTTGGTGCAATTAATTTCTTGAACCTTTTCTTTGAAACCATAAAAAAAGAAATATGAATTTTTCTCTTTTTGAACTTTATATTTGAAATTTAACTTTTAACTAAATAAATGAGCTTTCAAATGATTCTCATTTGATACTTGAATATTAAATTTTCACAGAAACATACGACTTTAAGGGGATCATTCAATGTGATGGATTCAAAAAATCGAAAAACTTATTTTCACAAGTCACATCTATAATATGTGTGGAATATGTGGATAAAGCGATTTTTCGATATTTGACGTCCTAAGAAAGTTACAGAACTGAGAAGACAAGGCGCTGTCGATCGATCACTGAAGTACTTATAAACTTTGAAAAGCGTTTTTCTCAAAACTATTTTTTTCAAACTGGCGACAAAAAATCATGTTTTGGTAGAAGAAAAATTCAATTTTTAATATTTTCAAATAATCCTAGTTCCGACAGTAGTTACAACCTCACGATTAAAATTCAATTTTTTCTTAGATTTTAGGATCAGTCAGTCGGTATTGTGGTCTTTGATAGAAAGCGTTTTTAGGAACATTAATTTCGAGTGTTATAATTCGGAATCATTAAAGTATTTTTAATTACAAAGAACTGAATTTGTTATTAAATTTTTGCTGAATATATGGCAAAAATTTTAAAGTTCCAAGTTTTCATGGTTCTTAAAAGAAAATCCCAAAGAACGCTTAAAAACGTCTGTTTCACACGGGAAGACCCGTGTGAAAGTAAAAATAAAAATGTTAAAAATTGCGAAAATTATAACGTGAAAATTTGCTTTTCAAAACCAATAAAGAATTGAAAAAGTATACCCGATAATTAAAAGAATACTTATCAACTTTTTAATTGATTTATTTATAATGGGAATGCAATACAAGTTGAAGTGTTTCGCCTTTTTTGCATGGGACAGTTCAGGAAAAATGCCCTATCATTTCCAGCTTTTAATGTTCAAAACTGAAAAGAAGAAATTAAAAAATTGCCTTTTCTATTTCAACGATTCGAGTACGTACTTGTCTGCTCACGTGATTGTTGTTTTCATTGAAATACGACCAGAGAAAGCACATTGCGGCTGAAGGTACTTCCGACTAGAAGAAATATTCTTCGGTGAAAATATTATTTATTTGGATTTTAAGCAAATAATTATATTTTTACCAAATTGCTCGCTTTTTGGCTGCGATTATCTGTCACTATAACAAATCCATCTTCATCTAGTCGTCGAAGTATTACATGCCTCGCACTAACTTTCATGTCTCTGAAATAATAAAATCGTTAATTCATCGAAAGAGTTATTAAAATATGAATAAATTCAACTACTAATTTTAATAATCAGTTGTTTATTTTCTTTTAAATTTATTTAAATATCGATAAGTGAAAGTGATGTTTATTTAAAAAACATTTTTAAATTCGATTGGAAAATTTATAAATTCAAAACTCACTTGGAGACCGTTGCAAGACAAAGTGCATTTGGCAAACCGCTAGAGAATTTTCGTGCTTCTTCGTGCCATTCTCTGAAAAGGTCGTAAGGACTCTCAGAGGTCAGATCAATTCGAGCCAAATCTGAAAGTTCAGAGTGCGGCGTTTTTTCGTCCCAGCTTTCCTTTTGAACATTTTCAGAAAATTCATGTTATTTTTACTGTGATTATAAATTTAAACAATTTTTTTAAAAATTAATAAATAGATGAAGAGCAAATTTTCAAAACTTGATAAATTCATATTTTCTTATTTCGAGAATTTGAAACAAATTACTTTTCTCACATTACCACTTAAGTTAATTTTAAAATAAAAATTTTGTAATAATTTATTTCTATAACAATGTTTTTATATATAAGACGTTCTGTTTTTATAATTGAGCATTATTATAATTAAGAGATTTAAAGGTTTTAATTATTTTTCAATAAGAAATATAAAAATTATAAGTCATCTTGGTTATGTCAAAAATTATCTCAGCAATTTTGACTCTTTGAGAAATCTTTCACTTGATAAAAATAGATTTTCCGTGAATGTTAATCATCTTTCAATTCTAGGCATTAAAGTTGATAATTTAAGCTTTTATTTAAGCCCTTTTTGATATTTTTATCGTGTTACGTTTTTATTTTACTGTGCTTTCAAAACAGCTAAAAATGCATTTTTTTACACTTTAATCTCGTTTTTTATGGAACTGGCCGAATGAAAAATTTTTTTTTGGCTTATTCTTATTCAGTGACACCTAAAGTTTCAATAAACGCAAGAATTTTTAAGTAAACACTACATCAACATTTTTTTGTAACCATTATTTATAACGAGTGTCATACGAATTCAAAATTCTTTGAAAATTCTTAAATTTTAAAAATTGTTTATAATTTTTTTTAAAATTTGAATAAAAAATGTTAATATTGGTCATAGATTTTTGTAGGCTTTTTGTAGGTGGGACAAATATGTCCCGAGTTAAATCAGCGAAAGGTCCAAAAGGTGAGAGCTTAAAAAAATTCAAAATTAGTAAAATTTTACGCGACCTTAACTTTTAGATGAAATAAAATAAATAAAAAAGTTACTTTTTTTCAAAAAACGTTTTTTTTATTTTTAATTATAATTTGTTATAATGTCAAAAATTATTTTTTTAAAATCGTTTATATAATTTGAAAAATCGGTTCAAAATCTACATATTAAAAACATTTTTTCTTTTTTCATAGAAATTATGTATTTTTTAATTTACCATCTAAAAAGAAAAGTTAAAATTTTGACCACCTCCTCTACACCTTAAAATTGTATAAATAAATCAATAATATTTGGTTTTCAAATTTGTACTGATTAGAACTAAAATTTGTGGCAACTTTAAACCCGATCCCAAAATCAAATTTTTTACCTGGATCACTTCGCATGGAATGCCTCATATATACATTTTTCTCAAAAAATAGAATAAAATGCTATTTTTGGGTCAATTTGCCCTCGTAAAATATAAATAGGGTAGAAATGTAAAATTTAAAAGGTTTGTTCTCAAGTTTTTTAAATAATGAATCGAAAGGTCTTTGGTTTTTTAAAATTTGTACCTACGGTGACTTTCGAGACAGTAACACTTGCTTGTCAAATACTGTTCTACAAAATTTTTTTTTCTGTTTCATTGTTAATCACTAACAGCACTGCTGATATTTTAAAATTTATGAATTCTCATTACTCAACAAATTTTAAAATTTAATTCTTTTACATTTTCTAACCTCAGGAATACAAAAATTATGTTTTTTACATGGTTCCTACCAAGGTTTCTATAGAAAATACAATTAATCAGTTATTGATATTTCAAGTGTCGAGAATTTTAGAAAAATCCATTTTTATTTTTTACTCAGTTTTTTAATAATTTATAAATCTCATGGCAATTTATAATAATATTTATAAAAAGAAAATCCTTATGACGAAATCACGTTATCGTGAAATAAGCACGAAATTTTTAATTGCTTTTTGATTTGATCATCTGCCTTTGCTGACTTTATTCCCAATCTAGAGCTTTTGAACGTATTGCCTTTTGCCTTCAGCCAGCATATAAGAGACGTCTGAATAGACGATTATACTGACCGCTAACGGTCAGTGAGTAGGTAGAGGATTAAGGTTGAAAATAAATTATTTAGTACAGATATTAAAATAAACAATAAGGTTTGTTAACGATTATTTTTATTACATGTGACATTTTGTTACATGTGACAAACTTGTTGTATAAGCTTGCACACGACCCTACAAGTTCTGAACATTTAAATGAATGGAATTTTGTTTTAAAAATAAATATTTTCAAACATTACTGACTGTAATAAAAAGCAAAAGCAAAATTAAACATTTAGAATCATTATCATTTATCTTTTTAATACGTTACGCAATATTATTGCAATATAATTTTTTTTGAAGGAGAAATAAATAAATTTTGTTCATTTGAACGTTCAGAACTTTAGGGATATAACCATACTCCTAGTTTTTTTTTGCAATTTTTCTGGCTGATTGATATGTTTTTCAGTTCCCTTTTTATTTTTGAATTCTCTTTTGTCTAATCTTTCCTTTCCCGTTGCGCTTGACCACTAAAATTCAAATAAAACCGGACGTTATGGTATTCATCTTGCGTAACATCTTTTTTCACTCTTCCTCGACGTTTCATTCTCATTTTTTTTCTCAAATCGTTGGTAGTAATGACACTGTAGTGGTGGGTGGAGCAAATAAGGAAAAACCAAAGTTATGTGTGGTAGAAAAGAATAAAGAAAGTGAAGTCCGAATGAACTGAGAATACAGAAGATGTCGAGGAACAGAAAGAGTTGAAGTGCACGGAATAAAGTAATAATTACTATGGTTGGTCAAAAAATTTACTGCGGAGAGTATGAGTAAGCGATAACTGGTGAATTACGAGTCAATTGAGAGGGTGAGATGGTTTTGAGTGAGAAAGGACAGTGAGAGTTATATGGTAGAAGAAATCAATGGAAAAAGAGATAGAGTTCAAAGATAAAGCTGGCAATTCTAGTTAATCGGAATGTAGCCAGAATAGACGAAATGAACAGTACTTCCAGACATTGGAGAATTTAGTTTGTTAATTTACGGAATTTATGCAGAATGCGGAATGCTAATTAGCGGAAAATGATTAGTTACCCAAGTACCACGTAAAATTATCTTAATATCACTATGTAATATTACAGTCATCTTACTCTCATATCAAAATATTAATATACGTTGATATTAATAATTCCCTCGAATATCATCAAAAATATGAAAATTTCATAATAATAAGAACAACAACTTAAAAGAATAGCTCCTTCTTCCTCTAATGCAAAACCACTTTACTTCATCCTTTAAACCTAAAATAATCAAAATCCCTTCCACAATTTTAAATTAATTTTTATAACCATTACAACACCCCCTCAAAGACCCCCTTCAAGACGTTTAGTAAGATTTTTCGAGAATACGATTGAAGATAATTACAACTGATAACAAAGAGACAATGACATTTAAAAAGCAACCCTTATGACTAGAAGTCAACTCCTTTATCTCATTTTTCATGAAGTCGAAAAGAAAAATAAAACTCTTTTTTAACACTTGAAGAATTGTTACAACTGAACATTATAACTCTGACAGTTGAGCACTTTGACTTTTATTCATAAGGGTTGCTTTCCAAATGTCATTATCTCTTGTTATCATTTGTAATTATCTTCAATCCTAATCTCGAAAATCTTTATACTAGACACTCATGGAATCTTAAATATAAGTTATTCAGAATGTAAATGCTAGGGGTTGTTTGTTGGATACAAGGGTGGCAACTCCAAATGTGTTATTATCGTTTATTTATGGGCAAATCTACGGAATTGGTCGATTTCACGTTACTCCTCATTTATACTGCTATAATAATACTATTTAATTTTTGACTTGTTCTGATATCAGTTTGATGACATTTTAAACGAGAAAAGTTTATAAAATTATGATTTTTATACTCTTTTTAAGAATTAAGAAATCATTCACTTTTTAAACGAGGAAAGTTTATAAAATTATAATTTTTATACCCTTCTTGAGAATTAAAAAATCATTGATGAACATAAAAAGTCAAATTTCGCAAATTTTATTTGTTACCCTGGGTATTTTTTTAACTTTTAATGTGTATAATTGTTTCAGCATAACACGAAATCGACCACACTCGTAATTCTTCTAATACTGAAGAATGCATTAAATGTAGATAAAAATGCTCGTTAATTAAAACTAAATAGTAACTGTTCAGAAACTGTTAGTGCAATTTATCAGTAACAGAAAGTTTTGGAGATTTTTTCATTTTGTGATTTTAGTCAGGGTGTCTAGCGAATTATGATTTTAAAATTCCCGGCAAAATCCCGGATTTCCCGGACCTAAAACTAATTTATTCCCGGATTTATTTTTAAGACATTAATGACTATACTATTAATTTTTTAAATACAGTGGAAACTGAATTATCCGAACTAATTCAGGCAGGATCTGGTTCAGATAATCAAAAGTTCGAATAATAGAAATTGCTATTATTTTCGTTTATATTTGTGGATAAATGATTGTTTCGGAATTATTTTGCAATATCCAATGGCATTTATGTCTTCTTTTAGATATTTACATTAAAAGTCACTGAGGTTCAACTGCAATAAGTTAAAAACATTAGGATTTATATTTAAACTTTCAATTTAAGACTTTAAAATGTTAAAAACTTATGCACCAATTATATAAATAATAATAATAATATACGGTCAATTCTACGTCACAAATATATTTTATTTATTCCGTTTAGAAAAAAGGTATACGTATCCTTTATTTTTCTATTCTATAGGGGACCAAAATATTTTTTGCAAACTATCCTTATTATTTGTAAGTAGGTATGTATTAGATAAGTAAAATAATACTAAACCTGTTCTTGGCATATTTTTCTAAATTCAATAGTTTGGAGTTATAGATAATTGAAAATAAGTCTACTTTTAAAAATAAAAAAAAAAAAAATACAAAAATTTGGTTACCTATAAAAAATGAAAAAATAGATTTACAATAATATATTTTCATCCTAATTGAAAATGTGGACTGAAATTTAAGGTGAAATTGACTATATACCTATAATATATCTTTTTAAAATTTTTGAAAAATATAAGA